GGTATTTGAGGACATTGGGAAGGCTTCCAAAAAAATTGGGACACTCATGTGAATGCGTTCCTAGGCAGCAAGGGAGCATGAACAAACAAATTAAGTTATTTTAAGCATCACCTAACATCATCGATATCAAACATGGTTAGTATTTGCTTTTCATCAAGAGCAGGCTAGTATCACATGGAAACAGGTTACCAGAGTTCACAGAGCTTCCTTGGAAATGGATATGTGTAGAAACGGGCTGAGGGGAACGGGAGGGGGAACGAACATTTGACTGGGCTATCAGGACACCTGGAGTGAGAGTCTTGGCTCTGTCATTAACCAGCCGTATGTCTTGGAAAACGGCTCTTCTGTTTTGGGTGCCCTCATTTCCTCAGTTACAACAGAAGGCCTGACTTATTCCCTAAGAACATCTCTTCAATCTGCTAACCTAAGTGGGTCTCCACAGACGTAAAATGATAACTGTGGGGTCATAGGTAGGAAATTATCACCTTTGGGTCACTGCAGCATCACTGTCAGAACCTCCAATGTCAGCATCTTTGCTATAGGCGACCCCAGAAAAGTCCCTGACACAACCACCTGCTTCACATGAAAAGCAGATGAGAGGAATAGAGTGTGACTACGTGCCCTGAGTGTGAGTGTGTGCACTGAGTGTGACTGCACGCATTGAGTGTGACTGCATGCATTATTTTTCAATGCAGTACCTAAAAATTCATTCATGATATTGTGTATAACAGTAGTTCACTTGCATGGCTGTTTTAATGTACCATGATTTATTTATATGAATTGGTATGGACCTCCTACCAAGTATTTATCCACTGTATTGTTGATGGCCATCTGGAGTGTTTCCATTTGAGGCTTTTACAAATAATGCTGCTAGAAATATTCTCGTACATGTCTTATTATGCTTATGTGTATGCATCTTATCTATAAAGGAATATTGAAAAATCCGCTGCTTAGTGCCCTTCTCAGTATGGGAAGAGAATTTATTTATTTATTTATTTATTTTGAGACAGAGTCTTGCTCTGTCACCCAGGCTGGAGTGCAGTGGCCCGATCTCAGCTCACCACAACCTCTGCTTCCCAGGTTCAAGCGATTTTCTTGCCTCAGCCTCCTGAGTAGCTGGGATTACAGGTGCAAGCCACCACACCCAGCTAATTTTTGTATTTTTAGTAGAAACGGGGTTTCACCATGTTGGTCAGGCTGGTCTCGAACTCCTGACCTTGTGATCCAGCAGCCTCAGACTCCCAAAGTGCTGGGATTACAGGCATGAGCACCACACCCAGCTGAGAATTTATTTTCCATTTGGCAACTTACTAGTTAAAAGTTCCTCTCTGCTTGGAAACTTGCTTCCTTTCCTAGTTTCTGTAAAGGAATATTGAAAAATCTGCTCCTTGGTGTCTCAAGTGAAGTTAAAATAGTTCTGACTGGATGTCACCCTGGGCCTACAGTTTCTAATAAAATAATAAATATATATCTACAATAAAAGGTAAAGATCTTATAAATCTGTAATACTATCTATATTATAAATATATATCTAATAAAATAATAAATAATACCTATAATAAAACGTGCCAAAATAACCCCCTTAGACACCACTTCCCACATGTTTTGAACCATCGTAGAGACTCAGCTGCAACCATCTCTTATCATGGAAGGACAGATGTGAACTCTGAGGCCCAGAACTGCTGGATATTTAGAGACACACCAGCCCCGCTCCTACCTCAGCAGAAGGCTGGAAGCTGCACACACTTGTCTGGGAAAACTGGCATTTGAGAGGAAAATAAGGGTGAGTGAGACCTGCCTGAGTCTCTGATCCTCCATGTCCTGCAATTTTTTCCAGAGTGTGACTGAGAAGGTTTATCTGGTGCAGAGAAAAGAGAGACCCTGAGTGTAGTGGACCTGCAGACCACCTAACATATGGGGAAACTGAGGCAGCCTGTCCTCCTCTTCTCCGTGCTCCAGTCTCTCAGGCTTTGCAGTCAGGAGAAGGACCACACTCTCACATTAACTACACCTTTCCCTCACATCTTTCTCTCTCTTCCTTTTTTTTTTTTTTTTTGAGACAGAATCTCACTCTGTCACCCAGGCTGGAGTGTGAAGTGGCACGATCTTGGCTCACTCCAACCTCTACCTCCCAGATTCAGGCAGTTATCTGCCTCAGCCTCCCGAGTAGCTGAAATTACAGGTGACTGCCACCACGCCTGGCTAATTTTTGTATTTTTAGTGGAAATGGGGTTTTACCATGTTGGTCAGGCTGGTCTTGAACTCCTGAGCTCCTGATCCATCCACCTGGGCCTCCCAAAGTGCTGAGATTGCAGGCATGAGCCACAGCACCTGGCCCTCACATCTCTCTTAAGCTTCCAGTGCTCAGGCAAGCTTCCCGACTGAGGTGGCCTCTGCTACCTGCAACCTCATCTCCCTGCTTTCCTTCCAGCGTTTTATCAGTTTGTAATTATGTATTAACTGCTGTGATTACATGATTATTATGCCTCTCCCATTACACTAAACAGATATCACAGATCCTGGATATATATTTTTTCTTTTTAAAATTGAAGAACATATTGGCGAGGCATGGTGGCTAATGCCTGTAAATGCCCGTAATTCCAACACTTTGGGAGGCTGAGGTGGGCGGATCATTTCAGGTCAGGAGTTCATGGCCAACCTGGCCAACGTGGCGAAATCCGGTCTCTACCAAAAATACAAAAAAAGAAAAAAAAAAAAAAAAGGCTAGTCATGGTGGCTCATGTCTATAATCCCAGCTGCTCAGGAGTCTGAGGCAGGAGAATCACTTGAAGACAGGAGGTGGAGGTTACAGTGAGCTGAGATCCCGCCATTGCATTCCAGCATGGGCAACAGAGCAAGACTCTGTCTCAAAAATAAACAAATAAACAAATAAATAAATAAACAAGCCGGGCATGGTGGCCCACACCTGTAATCCCAGCTACTCAGGAGATTGAGGCATGAGACTCTCCTGAACCCAGGAGGGGGAGGTTGCAATGAGCCAAGATTGCACCACTGCACTCCAGCCTGGGTGACAGAGCAACACTGTGTCTCGAAAAAATAATAATAAAAATAAAATTGAAGAACATACAGAAAATGCAAAACTCATAAGACTGCAGCTTAGTGAATATTACAAAGTGAACACACCTGTGTGACCATCGTCCAGTTCAAGAAACAGAACAGTCCCAGAATCCCAGAAGGCACTTTTCCTCCTTCCTAAAGCTGACCCCTCTGCTGACATCCATAGATTAGTTTTGCCTTTTTAGTTTTTAATCTTAAAACTTAAAAAAATTGAGATATGGCCAGGCGCGGTGTCTCACCCCTGTAATCCCAGAACTTTGGGAGGCCAAGGCAGGTGGATCACCTGGGATCAGGAGTTTGTGACCAGCCTGACCAACATGGTGAAATCCCATCTGTCCTAACATACGAAAATTAGCTGGGCATGGTGGCACGCGCCTGTAGTCCTAGCTACTCCGGAGGCTGAGACAGGAAAATTGCTTGAACCTGGGCAGTGAAGATTGCACTGAGCCGAGATAGTGCTACTGCACTCCAGCCTGGGCGACAGAACAAGACTCTGTATTAAAAAAAAAAAAAAATTGAGATATAACTTACATACAGTGAACTTTACTCTTTGTATCCTACAGTCATAAATATATCCTCATGTATCTATGAGTTTCGATAAATGTAAACCACAAACTTAATCAAGATACGGAACAGTTCCACCACGCCTCAAATTCCCTTGTGCCCTTGGTAGTCAACCCTTTCCCCACCCCTCTTGAAACTCACTGATTTGTTTCCTTTCCCTATAATTTTATCTATTTTGTGTGTGTGGGGGGGGTTGTTTGTTTTTTAACAGGTTCTCCCTCTGTTTCCCAGGATGGAGAGCAATGGCATTATCATAGCCCACTGCAGCCTTGAGCTCCTGGGTTCAGGTGATCCTTCCTCCTCAGGACTCCCTCCAGCTCCCCCACCACCAAGTAGCTGGGACTACAGATGCTTGATCCAGTACTGGGGGTTGGGGGTGGTGGTGTTTGAACTCTGTCACTCAATGTTTGTGAGATTCATTCATGATGTTGTGTATAACCGTAGTTCACTTGCATTGCTGTTTTAATGTACCGTGATTTATTTATATGAATTGGTATGGATATACTACCAAGTATTTATCCATTGCATTGCTGATGGTCATCTGGGTTGTTTCCAGTTTGAGGCTTTTACAAATAATGCTGCTAGAAATATTCTTGCACATGTGTTTTTATGCTTATGTGTATGCATCTTCTTTACGGCTTGGTGATCCCAGCGTCAGGAAGATGTGCTCCTATGTTAGTTTCTGTAAGTTTCACGTTATCTTTCATACTTAGAGCTCTAATTGATCTGGAATTCATAGCTGTGCGTGATGGGAGGTAGGGTGCCAAGTTCCCTTTTTCCTCTTCCCTACCTGGATATCCCATTGACCTAGCACCATTAACTCAAAATAGTTTCCTCCCGTGCTCTGCAGCCCCGCCTCTGAAATAAATTGTCCATACACGTGTGTTTTTGTTTTTGGTCTCCATCTTATGTTCCACCGGTCTTCTCACTTGGTTTTTCTTTTTCAAGATTTTTTTCCACCTGTTCAAGACCCTCTGAATTTCTACGTAATTTTCAGGCTCCTATCTGGGTGCACTCATCCTGGTCTCCCAGCACCTCACAAGTGCCTGGCGCGCGGCAGGAACTCAAGGCTGGCTGCGACCTGGAGGCAGCAGAGACAAGGCAAAGCCTGTCTGAGAAGTTGTACCAGGTTCCAGCAACCCACCCCGCCCCACAATTCCTCCTTGCTCACTCCCACCCGCCGTGGCGCACCCGCAGACGGCGCGGAGGCGTGCCCGCCGCGAAGCGCGTCACTTTCCCAGGGGCCTGCAGGCTCCGCCCCGGCTCTCCCTCCCCGTCCCCCCAACCGTCCTCCCCGCCCTTCCCCCGCCCCGGCTCTCCCTCCCCACCGCCCTCCCCGCCTTCCCCGCCCCGGCTCTCCCCGCCCCAGCCCCCGACTCCGCCTCCGCCTCGCCGGCCGGGCCGGAAGGGTGACTTCGCCGCCTCTTTCCCTCCGCTGCGGCAGCGCAAGCACAGCGATGGCGGCTCCAGAAAGCCGTGGGCCCGGCGCCGACGCCCGGCTGGACCAGGAGACGGCCCGGTGGCTGCGCTGGGACAAGGTGAGGGGCGCCAGCAGGCGGGGAGCGCCCGGAAAAGTACCGGCTGCCGGGTGCTCCGCCCTCCCCGGGCGCCCCGCTTCTTCCCCGGGGAGCCCCAGGCGGAGCGCGCAGCCGTTGCCAGGCTTCCTTCGGCCTGGCCGGCAAGTGGCACGTTCCGAGTTAGGTCGGGAAAGGTTGTCCGCGGACGAAACCAGCTATCCGGCCGGCCGGACTGCAAGTTCGGAGTAGAGGAGCGAGCCAGGCTGGTGGTCTAAGCGCGGCCAGGCCCGGGACGCTGTGTGGTTGAGGCGCGCACGCCTTCTGTCACTCAGACCGCTGGCTCGCCTTTGGTAGTCGGCTGTGCATGCCCATGGACCCAGAATCACTCTGTCCCACCTACTCCTTTGGCCGCTGGGACCTTTGTAGAGCAGCGTTCTAGTCCGGTCCTTCCATCCCGAGGGCTTGGTTACAAACGTGGGCCTTCCCGGGTGGGCCCGCCTGGCTTCAGGAGTAGCCCTTGGAACATTGACAGCCCAGGAGGAACCCTTTGGACACAGCACGGATTTCTCTCCCATCATTCCCTTTCTTAGATGCTGGACCAAAGAAAGAATCGGGAACCCAGCTCTGGACATCACTCCCTCTCTCCTCTCTAACTTGCGTCTCGCCCTTCCTGCCTGTTCTGCTTGCTGTTCGGTTTTCTCGGAATGCCCTTCTCTGCTCTCTTTTGCTGAACTTGTTTCTCCCTTTGTGACTCATATTTAACTTAAATGTTGCTTACACATTGGCTTCGAAGTGTACATTGTTTCTCCCTAATATTCCCACTGAACGGTCTGTGATTTTCCTTTATGGCGCTTGCTGCAAAGGGTAAAAACAAAAAACTCCAAAAACACTTGTTTGTAGGTTTGTTTAATGTCTGTCTTCAGGGGCAGGAGACCCCTGCCGTCGCCCAGGACTCCCGGACCTAGAAGAGCCTACTGTTGTTTTAATGTCCTGCTGTCCTGTCTTGAAAAATCTTAGTGGTTGAACAAGAGAGCACTTATTTTCATTGTGCACTGGACCTCTGTAAATTATGTGGCCAGTCCTGTCTGCTCTCACTGCCTTGGTTTATAGTGCCTGGCATAGGCATAGGGCAGGACGCATAGTAGGTCACTAAAATACTTGAATGAACAAAGGAGATAGATTACAAGGTCAGTAGGGGCCAGGTCTTTGTTGACCATTCTCTGGCTCCTACTAATAAAATGTCAGCAAATCCCATTTCCAGGATGCTATTGGCAACTCCTTGGGGGAGTTTTTCTTCTCCTGGGAAGATAACTTTGTGATTCTTAAGGGAAGAAAAATATTTCCCTTTCTGATAACTTGTAACTTGCAGAGTATAGAATTCTTTTGAAGTCGGAGTTCATAACGCCTTTCCCTTTGAAAACGAAGAAAAAAGCAACCTAATGTCTACAGTGTTGCATCTGTAGTATAGAAAGATTGTACCTCTCTTGGTAGAGAGATGTCCTTTTTATATATATATTTTTTTTTATCACTCCTCTTGTTCTATCCTCCCTTAATTTCTTATTTGGCTTTGAGACTGGCCGTAACTGAGAAGACCATTCATTCACTCTCCAGCGAACCTCCCACCAGCTAAAAGCATTGCAGTCCTCTAGTCTGACTTCACCCCGCGATTGGCAAGGCACCCTGGCAGGTGCCCTCTGTGTTTCTAGCATGCCTTCATCCCTGTTCTTTTCTCTGCTGTCAGCTTTGGTCACTCCCACAGGTGATTCTGATCCTGCTCTCCTCTTGACTTCTCATTCTTCTCTTTCTGTCTCATTTGTTTCTCTCAGGCTACTTGGTCTTTCGTAGATACCAAAGACCAATTAAGATTTTCCAGACCTACATTATGAACAAGGGAAAATCATTTGCTATTGGGTGTGGCAGTGAAGCCCATGTTTTCTGATTCACTCTACGAATATTTATTGAGCCTCTTTTATGTACCCGATCAGAGCCCTTAATTGGGGGCACCTGACAATCTGATAGGTAAGACTGTGTTCTGTAATTAGTATCTGCTGCTTTTCACCAAAAAAGGTTGAGGTTTATTTGATTCCTATTGGATCTGCAACAATCTGGAAATGTGGGCTTAATTCCAGAAAGCCAGGGTTTTATTGCAGTAGTATTCCAAAGTTTACATAGCCACATCCTGTGTGAGTGCACATCTAAATGGATAATGACTGTAAAACAGGAATATAAAGTACTTACTCTGTTGTTTTCCTGGATTCATAATTTAAAAGCCTCATGTGAAATTAATGTGATTGTCATTTTTTCCCTCCAACCTTAACATTTTCTGTAACTACTGTACAAAAAAACAGGACAATGTATAATGAACTTAAGTGAATCCTGTTAGTGTCTATTTGAAACAGTTAGTGTTAGAGAAAAGGCACTAGGTTAATGTTTATCATGCAATTTAAGAAAGTCACTCAATCTCTGAGCCTTCCCCATCTGTAAAATTGGGTTTCTGTTATTTGCCTGCTTCTTGGAGCTGTTACAAGATTCAGACTTGACCAGGTATGTGAATGCCTGATATAAGTTATAAAACATTGCAAAACTAAGGTTTTGACTTAAATTGTGTAATCTGTCACTCTCTGGAAAATTTGAGAACGTTAGAGAGAAAAATGAACATTTAATCACAACTAAGTGCCAGGTAGAGAAAGAGATTTTACATTAATTTGAAGTAAACTACCTTAAAACCTTAAAATTTGTGTAAGGGAAGTTCTAGATTATTCCCATTTTGCAAATGGGAAAACTGAGAATTTGAGAACCAAATTAATCTGCGCAAGCACCTAGAGTTGGCAAGCGGTATGCTGAGGTTACATTCTGGGGATTAGACTCATAGGCTAAAACCTCGGCTTCCATTTCTCCAAAAGTGCTGAACTTGACAGGAAAGGAAAGACCACTTATGTTAGACTGACTTCATATTTCAAATTTCAAAAGCATCAGAAAATCGAAAGGTGTGTGTCTATATATATTTCCCTATAGGTTAGAATGATATTGTGGTGGTTTTTGCTTTTCATTCACTTATTTGTTTGGCTGTATTTTTGTCCTGTAGAATTCCTTAACTTTAGAGGCAGTGAAACGACTAATAGCAGAAGGTAATAAAGAAGAACTACGAAAATGTTTTGGGGCCCGAATGGAGTTTGGGACAGCTGGCCTTCGAGCGCCCATGGGCCCTGGAATTTCTTGTATGAATGACTTGACCATCATCCAGACTACACAGGTACCACATTTTTATAATTCTTAGTAACTCAATGTATCCCTCTAGCTCATTTTATATTTGACAGATCTGATTTAATTGTGGATGTGTCTTATCAGCTTGACTAGACACAAGAAGTCGCCACCACTTGCTCCATAAAGTAAGGCTTGCACAGTTGGTTGAAATAGCACTTGTTCAGGAATCATATAGCCATTCGTTCATTTAATACACTTACTGAGTGCCTACTATGTGCCAGTCGTTGGGGAAATGAGAATGACTCAAACAAACAGATTCTCTAATGGCGCTTTCATTCCAGTATAAATGCACCAGCTAAGCTGACAACTTTTAAGGTCCTGTTGTTTTTGCCATAATTTCACGGCAAGTGCTAAAAAACTTTTCTAACTGCCAGAATTATCAAGAGCCTGTTCTCCTTTGTTTTGTTTGTTTTGTTTTGTTTTGTTTTCAGACAGTCTCACTCTGTTGCCCAGGCTGGAATACAGTGGCACGATCTCGGCTCACTGCAACCTCTGTCTCCCAAGTTCAAGCAATTCTCCTGCCTCAACCTCCCAAATAGCTGGGATTACAGGTGCGCGCCACCATGCCCAGCTAATTTTTGTATTTTTAATAGAGACGGGGTTTCACCATGATGGCCAGGATGGTCTTGCTCTCTTGACCTTGTGATCTGCCCACCTTGGCCTACGAAAGAGTTGGGATTACAGGCGTGAGCCACTGCGCCCGGCCTCTCCTTTGTTGTATTAGTATGAATTGAGTCTGAATTTCCTTACCTTAATTTGTGAATATTTTTGTCAGAGTCTAGACCCAGCTTTTAGGAAGGAGACTAACAATTTGACAAAACAGAAAAGCTTCCACTGGGTATTGGGAGTACTGTTTATGAGGGAAATGAAATAGAACAGGTTATTCTTGTCACTGTTTCTTCAACTTAGACCTGTTAATGATGAATGTCACTTTAATTCTGGGAAACGAAAGGCTAGAAAAAATCGCCTCCTAGTGATTACATAAGCCTCACATATACACCCAGTGTAAAAGGCAGAGCTGGGCATGTTGTAACGAAACTCTAGTAAGGAAAGCTTATCTAACTAAGGGTATAGAATTACCATGGGGCCAGGCACGATGGCTCACACCTGTAATCCCAGCCTGAGGCAAGTGGACCACTTGAGCTTAGGAGTTCAAGGCCAGCCTGAACAACATGGTGACACCCTGTCTCTATCAAAAACACAAAAATTAGCCAGGTGTGGTGCTGTGCACAAGTAATCCCAGCTACTCAGGAGGCTGAGGCAGGAGGATCATTTGAACCCAGGAGGCAAGGTTATAGTGAGCTGACATCACGCCACTGGACTCTAGCCAGGGCAACTGAGCAAGACTCTTTCTCAAAAAACAAAAAATTGATTTCCATGGGAACTCCTGGTCAGAAACTCTTATTAAGCAGTAGGGCTCCCTGAGACATTGGAGGAGAGACTTAGAATGGGGTGAGTATGGGAACCCTGTTCAGTTTATGGATAACGTAGGAACCCTGCTGTTAAATAAGGTTGCCTTCTGTGCCAGTTGCTACGGCTGTACAACAAATCATGGAAAATATAATGGTTCAAAACAGTAACCACATTTATTTTGCTCACAAATCTGCAACTTTGGTAGAATTCAATGGGGACAGCTTGTCTCTGCACCAGTCAGCACCACCTGGGCCAGTTTGGAGGCTGGAACCATTTGAAGGCAGCTTCATTCGCTTGCCTGAAATTATTACTGGCTATTGGCTGGCATCTTACCTGGGGCTGGAACCCCTGCATGTAGCCTGGTCTTCTTTATAACATGGTGGCTAGCTTTCAGTGGAGTATCCAGAGAGGGAGACACAGAATGTCCTAGCTGGAAGCTTTACTGACTCTTATGACCTTTTATAATGCACAGTGTCACTTCTACCATATTCTGTTTGTTAAAAGTGAGTCCGTAAGGCTGTCTCCTATTCAAGGAAAGGGCGCATAGATACCCACTTCTCATTGGAGGAACATTAATGTCACATTGTAAGAGGAACATATGGGATGGGTTATATGACTGGGGCCATCTATGGACAATCCAGTTGATCACACTTGCCATTGGGCCTAATTGTTAGGGGTTTCTAAGGGATTCTAGATTAACCTAGAGTTTTATCCCCTGAATTTTTCTATATCTAGTCTCCAAGAATAGTGAAATGTATTCCCATTAAAGACTATCTTACCCATTTTCCTCCTAGAAGAATTGGTCTCCGCTGAGGGTAAACTCCTTTGCTAAACAAGATGATCAGTATTCTAAACATCATGTAATTCAGCCAGCCACCACTTGGGATAATTTTCTCCATGAAACTACCACTTTGAAGTGCTCATTCTGCCTATTCTGGATACTTACAATAGGAGACAGAGATGTGAAGAGTTAAGAAAGTTTTATCTGAGCAGCAGGTGTATTTTTTTTTTTTTTTTTTTTTGAGATGGTGTCTCAGTTGGTCACACAGGCTGGAGCGCAGTGGTGTGATCTCAGCTCACTGCAACCTCCACCTCCTGTTCAAGTGATTCTCCAAGCAGCAGGTGTTATCTTTAAAATCTTAGGAGTGGATTCAAAATTAGAGGCAAGAGGATTCCCAGAACAAATAACAAAGGTTTCCCCAGTCTTGGGTAGTGTTCCCTGACAGAATGCTGACAGGAAAATATATTGGTGACTTTTCACTGATCAGACTTTCATGGTAGCGTAGGTGCCCTTCCTCCTGGTCTGTGGGTGTGGAGCCTCATTCTGATGTACCCCAAAATCTGCCTGGTTGGTTTAAGAAGCAGATGTATGTGATTGAAAAACTGTCAGAGGAAACAGGACAGAGGCTGGAGGAAACTTCTATGTGGTTTGCCTCATTGATAGAGGTTATAATTTCCTTCTGCCAATTAATTTACGTTCTGCTCTATTTTGGGTTCTGTGTTCTTAGGTTATTTAGCCATAGCATACCAGTGATGGGAAACTCGCTGTCCTCTGAAAGAGGCCATTGTATCTTTGGACCATTCTTATTAAAAGATGGCTTCATTATTTTAAGCCAAAATCTGCCTTTCTGTAGACTTTACATATTGGTCTTAGTTCTACTTTTTGAAGTCATACAAATAAGCTTGCGTCCTCTGTTTTATAGTAACATTTTATTTCTGAAAACCCCCCCTCTTTCATCTAGTGTAAGAATTCCCTTTTCCCTTAGCCATTCATTCAGGTCTTCATCCTCAGCAGGCCTCAGAGATTTTTAGAGAATCTGGAGATGGGAATGCTCTTTGCTTCAGGGAACCCTGGGGCCACAGCTCAAGGGTTGAGCAGGAAGAGGGGAACTGTCATTATTGTAAATCTTGGCATCTGGGTATCTTCTGGGGAACCCACAAAACCAATACACATGTCCTTATTTCCTTGCATCACTCAGCCTCAGAAGATATGCTCAGTGCAATGTATTTGTCAAAGAAAAGCTAAAGGCATTCTAAATTAGCATTGACTGTGATTTATCCCCTTCTACCTAAAGTAAAAGTTATGGGTTGGTCGTGGTGGCTCATGCCTGTAATCCAAGCACTTTGGGAGGCCAAGGCAGGAGGATTGCCTGAGCCCACGAGATTGAAACCAGCCTGGGCAATGTGGCAAGATCCCATCTCTACAAAAAAATTTTTTTTAATTAGCCAGGCATCGTGGCATGTACCTGTAGTCCCAGCTTCTCAGGAGGCTGAGGTAAGAGGATTACTTGAGCCCAAGAGATTGAGGCTGTAGTGAGCCATGATCATGTCATTGCACTCCAGCATGGGAGACAGAGTGAGACCCTGTTTCAAAAGAAAAAGAGTTAATGTGTATTTATAAGACTTCCTTTAGCAAAAGTGAAGTAAATAATATAAAATGAATTATTATTTTTGCCCAATTAACCAGAGTTTTCTTTGTTTTGTATGGCTTTTAAGGAAAATAACAACCAAAAAATGCTTATAACAGCAAACACTTAATATAGTACTTAGTTGGTATTGAATTCTCAGCACTTTGCATGTTTTCATTCATTTACTCCTTATAACAGCCCTATGAGGTGGGTACTATGGTTATTCCTGTTTCACAGAAGAGGAAACTAAGGCACCAAGACATTAAGGAACTTGTCATTTGCTTGTAGTGGCAGCGTGGAGTATAAATTCACAGATTCTGCTTCTAGAGGGTGTGTTTTTAAGCCGTACACTGAACCACCTCTCACCAGCGCTGGGTACAAATCCAGGCTCTACTACTCTAATATCTGAAACTGGACAAGTCACTATGCCTCTCTGAGCCTTATTTTACCCATCTGTAAAGTGGGATTTCTGGCCAGGTACAGTGGCCCACACTTGTAATCCCAGCATTTTGGGAGGTCAAGACAGGAAGATCATTTGACAATAGTTCAAGACCAACCTGGGCAAAATAGCAAGACTCTGTCTCTATAAATTTTTTTTTTTTAAATTAGTTGGGTCTAGTAGCATGCACCTGAGATGTTAGCTACTCAGGAGGTTGAGGTGGGGGGGGATTGCTTAAGCCCAGGAGTTCAAGGTTACAATGAACTATAATGTTAGGATTCACTCAAGGTGATTGACAAAATACTAAGGGAAATATTAAGGAAAGTTATAAGATACAGTCTCAAATCTTTTAGAAGGACAAAAGGTTTTCATTAACTTGTAATAATAGAACAGGCTGAAGGCAGACAGTCCTTACCTTAGAGCATTAGGTTGTAAGGTGAAGATTAAGGATAACTATCCAACTTTTACTTCCTGGACTGCAGGAAGGGAACTTTCACTAGCCATCTTGCCACGAGAATACAAAGAATAAAGGAAAACACAAATTGATCCCTTTTGCATTTGGGGTCATCCTTACTGCTGTGTCTGATCTCCGTTGGCTGGAGCCAGACCTCACAATCTAAACTAAAACCTGATTGGCTAACAACTTAAAACCTTTCTAAACAGGTAAAAGCAATGGAGAGCTGGTACGTGCCTGAGAGCATGTCCGGCACAGATCTTTTCGTTAAAGTACAGGGACATAGAGTGTACTACATGCCTGTAAGCATGGCATGTCTAACAGCTACATAGGCTAGAGCTTAACAGAGTTATTAGCAAACTTATTCTTTAACAAGAAAGGAAACTTTAAAAAGGAACTTTTCTACTTCCCACAAGAAGCTTCCCCAGTTAAGTCTGTTTACCCCATATTTCTTTGTCTTTACTAGCTTGCTTATTCATGTAAACTTTGTGCCAGAAGGTCCTTTCAGCGGGAGATCAAAGAGGGATTAACCTGTTAATAGTGTTTGTTCTAGGCCCCAGAACCAAAGCTTTTATCATTCGCAAAACCACTCTTTTAGCCATGTCAATTATCCACAAGCCTGTCGACTTAGAACCTCTGTTATAAAATCTATACTGAATAAATGCGAGGAGGAATAGCTAGTGAGGGGTCAGGTAGCTGCAATAGCAGCTGACAACCTCCCTAGCTCACTCGTTTACTGGACTTGGTGTATGAGTGCATTTTATTCATCCGTCGCAGAGTCAGGGTTTGTAAGACAGACCCCTCGAAAGTAGTGATCAACATCTCAGGTGGTGACCCCAGTGTGACCAGTGCTGCAATGATCGTGCCATTGCACTCCAGCCTAAGCAACAGAGCAAGACCCTGTCTCTGGAAAGGAAACAAAAAATTTCCTAACAAAGTTGATCCAAGGTTAGAGATAATAGTTACTAAGTGACCAACAACTAACACAGTGCCTAATACAAAAACACATGGGTAATAAACAAGGCTATTACTTTCTTTATTTTCTTCCTGTTCAGTTTGTTTCCTTACTGAGATGATTTTCCCCCCTGCTATGGTGTTATCCTATGAAATTTGAGAAAACGTAATTTTTGGCTAATGTTTCTATATTGTATATATAAAAATATGTCAAAACATAATACTGTTTTAATCTATGGGGTATTCGTAGGGATTTTGCAGATACCTGGAAAAGCAGTTCAGTGACCTAAAGCAGAAAGGCATCGTGATCAGTTTTGACGCCCGAGCCCATCCATCCAGTGGGGGTAGCAGCAGAAGGTATTTACACATTTTTACAAAATAATGTTTCCGTAATTTACTTTGCAGTTTTATTTTAATCACCATCTCAATAACTTGACTTTAATATATTCATGAGCCTCATTGTTTAACTATAAAAATAATGGGTAAATTCTCTTGGCAACTTTTAAAGATTCTGGTTTTACATTTGGGGCGAGGAAATAAAATTATTTAGACAATTTAGAATGTAATACCTATCTAAATGAAATAAATTTCTTTAACTGGAAATAGTATTTCTCCCTCTCATTTGCCTTGTTATACATAATTTTTTTCCTGTTATTCCTAAGCCTCATGACTCCCTTCCCACTCTTGAATGCTCACGTCAAGCTGCATTTCTGAAATATTCCTAAACCAGTGGGACTCTCTTACGTAGCTGTAGGTATATGATGCTGATGGTGACAGTGATAATAGTAATAGCAGCAATCATTTGAGTGCTGATTATGAATCAGACACTTATGTATTTACCCATTCTATCCTCACAGCAACTTGTAAGGTATGTACTTTTATCTCTTTACCCTGCAATTATAATGTGAGAGGAGGAGTCACAATTTAAGCCTAAGGAGATTGGTACCAGGGATCAGCAAACTTTTTCTCTGAAGGGCAAATCGTGGATATCACACACATTGCATATAACATGAATCCCGTCACTACTACTCAACTCGCCCATGGAGCAGAGAGGCATCCATAGACAGTGCACAAACACAGGGGCATGGCAGTGTTCACTAAAACTTTATTTACAAAATGCACTGTAGTTACTAACCCCTGCTCTTAACCATGTTATGTAACCCTCTATTTTTACTTGAACACTTCCTCTGTTATGATCAATTTGTAATCATTCCAGAGTATCAGTAGTTTCTTAGATTTGCACATATTGAATATTAATGAAAAGTCTCATTAGCTTTACAGAGCTGGATGGGTTTATCGAGTCCTGTCTTTGCCCATCGGGAGCTTCCAGTGTAAGACAGAAGCACTCATGGGGACAAATGTGTGGCCATGAGGAAGGTTGCATAGCTGGGGAAAATCACCAGGTGGCATCAGCCCCAGGTTGAACTCAGGATGGCATAAGATCTTTAGTTTTCAGCTTTGCAGCTCAAAAAAATATGATTTTTATCAATAAAGCAAGAGAAAAGTTATAGTTCTGGAGGACAAATGCACATGAGCTCCATTCACAGGAGAATGATGGAGTATAAACCAGTGTCATCAGCTTGTCATTTACAATTAGTGGATGTAGAGTTAGAACCAGATCATGAGCATGCTCCTCTGCTACCCCAGGGCAGGTCAGATCCTCCGCTCAGAGCATGCACAGTGCATATACATGGCTAAATCTGCCTGGTGAGCTTCTTAAATTTCTTCATTTTAGGCTGACTGCCCTGCTTCTGGTTGATGCAAACTTCAGAGATATGTTAACATTATCAATTAAGGTACAGATTTTTTTGCCCTGGCCTTAGAGCCATATCATTTCCTGAAAGTGAAGGATGTTACTGATATAAGCTTATGGTTCAGGTTGCAGAGTTTGATGGGATGGGATGGAGTGGAACTCAAAGCTACTCTCTATCACCTACAATGTGCAAGACAAGCAGAGATCATAATGTAAACGTTTAACCAATACATGGTAAAATATTCGTAATGAGTGAGTGGAATCTTCTTAAGGAGTTGGAAACAACTGCAGTTTCTGAATTTCACCTGAAGAAATGTTTATTCTTCCAATTTTAAATATCTACTGGAGAACGTAAGCAGTAACTGTGAAGTATATGCAGAGAACACATTGCATTTTTTTGTGCACATTTGTAACATATAAAGAGAGTGGAGCTCTCTTCTTTGTGCCCCAGCCAGCCTTCAGAATAGTGTTCGATGAAGCTAGTGCTCAAGAAGTATTTGGGGAGAGGATGAATGATCTGATTGTCTAACCCAGTGATGGTATAATGTTGTTCATTTTAAGTAAATGGCTCATTTATTTTTGTGGTAATGTGTTTTACACCAGTATGAAGAAAGATTTGATGCCATTTTCTGTGTCTTGCCCTAAGCAAGTTGCTGTGGAAGTTGAGACAAATGTCAAAGAATTAAGTTTTCTTCCAAAGGCTGATTGTAACCAAGATGTGTGTGTGTGTGTGTGTGTGTGTGTGTGTGTGTGTGTGTATACACATGCATACTCCAGGATGTCTTATATTTCAAATAAAGCAATCTCTAATCGAACTCCAGTCTGCATGGTGTATGCTGGGTTGTGACAGGCTTAGGCTGAGATTTCTCAGCCTCTGCACTGTTGACATGTGACTTCACAGTGGTGGGATGATTTCTTGTGGTTGTAGGGTGCATTGAAAGGTGTTTCACAGCACCCCTGACCTCTCCCTACTAGCTGCCAGGAGCCACTCTCTCCATTCCCCAGTGTGACAACCAAAAACGTTTCCAGACATTTCAGATGCCTGGAAGAGGAAGGTGCAGAGTTGCCCTGGCTGAGAACCACTGAGCTAGATGGAGAGCTGAAAGGCTGGGATGCAGCCAGCCTCTGCCACTAAGTGGCTGTTGGACCTGGGGAGAGGTGCCTGGCCTTTCTTGCCTTTAGTTTCACTTCTGTAAAAAAGGAGTGAAATGAGATGACTCCTGAGAGTCCTCCAGCTTTGCTGTCCCATGCCGAGGTAAAGATCGTAATAAATGCTCTCCTTGATCTGGCTGCCGAATTCACCCTAAGTAACATTCAGCATTCATTTCCTCCTTCCATCACTCACAGTCCTGGTAACTCAGCTCTCCTTTTCTTCCCTGTCACTCTGCCTTCTCAGGTTTGCCCGACTTGCTGCAACCACATTTATCAGTCAAGGGATTCCTGTCTACCTCTTTTCTGATATAACGCCAACCCCCTTTGTGGTGAGTAGCTCTTTCCTTTCGTAATTTCCTGTCACATGTGGGGTTGGGACTTGGCTGAATTTTACCATCTTTAGGAATTGGACTATTGAATGACAGAGGAGCTCTTTGGCACGTATGAGGCATTTTCTTTTCTCTGCAGGAATGTTTCTACCACATCCTAGTACTATTTCTCTACTATTCAACTTTTGATTCTTCGGAATTTTTTTTTTTTAAGTGCAGTTTTCCTTTTGCTTGCATTCTAAGGATATTTGAGTGAGTTAGCAAAATTTTTTTTCTTTTTTTTGAGGGCTCTGTTGCCTAGGCTGGAGTGCAGTGGTGTGATCTCGGCTCACTACAACCTCCGTTTCCTGAGTTCAAGCAATTTCTCCTGACTCAGCCTCCCAAGTAGTTGGGATTACAGGTGCCTGCCACCACGCCCAGCCAATTTTTGCATTTTTAGTAGAGGTGGGGTTTTCTCGTGTTGGCTAGGCTGGTCTCGAACTCCTGACCTCAGGTGATCCACCTGCCTCGGACTCCCAAATTGTTGGGATTACAGGCGTGAGCCACCGTGCCCAGCCTTTTCTTTGTTTTAAAATTTGGTTTGTAGTTCTTTTTCTTAGCTATCACAATTAGGAAACTTCTTGGGTCGAAATCTGAATTCACTCAAACCCTGTCTTGTCATGAGTATTTTTGACAAGCTGGCACACTCCTGTTTTATACAAATGTTTTATTCTAAATGCTATTCATGGCTAGTACAGAGAGCATGCTTGGCATGTTTCAGTAAGACGTTTATCAAATCCTTTATGCAGCACAGTCTAAAGAAAAAGACAGTAGGGACTGTGACCGCTTTGCTTTGATGTAGACAAAACTTTTTTTTTTATTTTTTTAAGATTGTACTTTAAGTTCTTGGGTACATGTACAGAACATGCAGGTTTGTTACATAGGTATACGCATGTCATGGTGGTTGGCTGCATCCATCACCCCATCATCTACTTTAGTATTTCTCCTAACGCTATCCCTCCCCTAGCCCCCCCACCCACCAACAGACTCTGGTATGTGATGGTCCCCTCGCTGTGTTCATGTGTTCTCACTGTTCAACTCCCACTCATGAGTGAGAACATGCAGTGTTTGGTTTTCTGTTCTTGTGTTAATTTGCTGAGAATGATGTTTTTTAGCTTCATCCATGTCCCTGCAAAGGACATGAGCTCATCCTTTTTTATGGCTGCATAGTATTCTATGCTGTATACGTGCCACATTTTCTTTATTCAGTCTTTCACTGATGGGCACTTGGGTTGGTTCCAGGTCTTTGCTATTGTGAACAGTGCCGCAATAAACATACGTGTGCATGCAGGTGAAACTTTTGAGAGCTGGGCCAGATGCTGAGAGTATGTTTTTGGAAAATGTGATGTGGATGCAGTTACTCACATCTAGTAGAAATGAGACTGTATCGCCAGAGGAGGTTCGAAATCATTTTGTTTTTGCTGGCTCTAGTGCACTGACAGGTAGATGTAGCACCGCTAGGCTATAAATAACCTGGTAGCCACTCTGTTCACATCTAAATGTAGTTCAGTTTCATTGTTGGATGGAAAAATTGCCATGTATTCAAGCATCCTAATTGCCTTCTGTACTAAGTGTTAGTGGCTGTTAACGTTCTATCAGACATGAATTGAACCAGTGTGTCATGATCCTTTGCTCACACTGAGGAGTCGTTCTCCCCTTTTCTTTGGCCCAGGACACCTGAGAGATGTGACATAACTTCCAGGGGGTTGAGTGACTGCAGTGATTCTTGGTGGGAGAGTGGAGGGGACGGACGACTTAAACCTCAGGTTGCCTGTGTATAATCAGTGTCATTTGCTACAATAGGGGGAATAATCCAACCCCTCCTCCCATTTTGGGAAGTAATGGAAATGGGAGCTAAGCTGAAATATAAATATTTAACCCTGGAGTGAGAGATAAATGAGCAACCTGTAAAACCTGCAAGAGCATTCTCCATTCCAACTTTTTATTATTATTATTATTTTTGAGACAGAGTTTCCTTCTTGTCACCTGGGCTGGAGTGCAGTGGCACAATCTCAGCTCACTGCAACCTCCATTTCCCAGGTTCACGAGTTTCTCCTGCCTCAGCCTCCCGAGTAGCTGAGATTACAGGTGCCCACCACCATGCCTGGCTAATGTTTTTGTTATTTTGGTTTCACCGTTTGCCAGGCTGGTCTTGAACTCCTGATCTCAGGTGATCCATCTGTCTCAGCCTCTCAAAGTGGTGAGATTACAGGCATGAGGCACCATGCCCAGCCCCGCGGTGTTTTTCTTAACTTTTTTTTTCCTTTAAAGCAAATGAGAAAGAGGAGGAGAGGGAGAAGCAGTTGGAGAGAGTAAGCTGAATCCCCAAATTTCTGTCTCAAGTACGAGCCTTGAAAGCACTGGAGCAGCGGCTTAGACCATCGTTGTATTTGAAGAATTTTCTAGCTATACCAAGTAGAAGATGGAATGAGAAGGCACAGAGGAAGCTACTCACCTTTCTTATTAGGAAATGCATCCTGGAATTTTGAACAGCCAGTTAGTTCTAAGGGTAATTGCATACTGCTGGGGCGTGGCTCAGAATATTATGCTATTTACATATTATGTTTATTAAAAGGGAGCCAGTTGGCATGAACAATGTAAAATTGACATTTTAAGGATATGTGGTTTTTGGTTTAAGACTGTGTTCTTGTTTCCTGCCGTTGCAGCCATTCACAGTATCGCATTTGAAACTTCGTGCTGGAATCATGATAACTGCATCTCACAATCCAAAGCAGGATAATGGTTATAAGGTATTTTCCTTTTTCTTCTCCACGTGTACATCCTTCTATAGGAATCCTCTATCTGTATCCTTTGGGACCATAGGTAGCAGGTGCCTTATTTCCATTCACTGTAAACCCTCTGAATGTGTTCCTGGGTTCTCTAGGTCTATTGGGATAATGGAGCTCAGATCATCTCTCCTCATGATAAAGGGATTTCTCAAGCTATTGAAGAAAATCTAGAACCATGGCCTCAAGCTTGGGATGATTCTTTAATTGATAGCAGTCCACTTCTTCACAATCCGAGTGCTTCCATCAATAATGACTACTTTGAAAACCTTAAAAAATACTGTTTCCACAGGTAAACGAATTGTGTCTCCACTGACCTTAAGTGAGTTAAGTTAATATGATTCAGCCAAATTCTATCACTCTTGATGAAGTTTTTCTCTTTAACTGGTTCATGTACTACAGCTGCATCTGATTTTATTTTATTTTATTTATTTATTTTGAGACAGTGTCTCACTCTGTCACTCAGGCTGGAGTGCAGTGGCACCATCACGGCTCACTACAACATTTGCCTCCTGGGTTCAAGCGATTCTTGTGCCTCAGCCTCCCAGGTAGCTGGGGCTACAGGTGTGAGCCACCGCACCCAGCTAGTTTGTGTGTGTGTGTGTGTGTGAGCGTGCGCGCAGAGAGAGAGAGAGAGAGAGAGATTAGGCATTGGCAGACTTTTCTTAAAGGGACAGATAGTAAATATTTTTGGCTTTGAAGGCCACATAGACTCTTTCTCAAGTAGTCGATTTTGCTTTTAGTACAAAAGCAGTCAGGGGTGCAATGTCAGTGAAGGAGTGCAAAAAGTGAGTGGCTTGCCCATAGGCTATAGTTTGCTGACCTGTTATAGACTCCATACATGTATGTGATTAATACATATTCATATTCATACATGTAAGTGTGTATGTGTGTATGTACATATAATGTATGTTTAAAAAACTTGCTCAAAAGTGTTAAAGAGTAAACACGGGTATTTTTCCTTCCAAAAATTTTCTGCATATATAAGCATATATATATGTATAATATACTTCAAAACCATATATAGGAATATAGTGCATGTGTGGTTTGTTCTGTGCCCTTTTCCCCTCAATTAATTTGTTATGGACCCCTTTCTATGTTAGTCCCTATTAGTCCTGACTTTCTGTCTTAAAGGTGGCTGCACCTGTGTATTTAACTCAATGCCACAGACTCAGTCCTCACTGTCGGGTAGGCAGTGGTCTAGCAGAGTGACAGTAGTGTCTTCCCTCCTGACTGTGATTGTCCCCCTAGCAAGAAAACACTGGTTTCTTTCTTTCTTTTTTTGGAGACAAAGTCTCGCTCTGTTGCCCAGGCTGGAGTACAGTGTCGTGGTCTTGGCTCACTGCAACTTCTACCTCCTGGGCTCAAGCAGTTCTCCTGCCTCAGCCTCCTAAGTAGCTGGGATTACAGGCACGTGCCACTGTGCCTTGCTGATTTTTGTATTTTTAGTGGAGACGGGATTTCACCATATTGGTCAGGCTGGTCTCGAACTCCCGACCTCGTCATCTGCCTGCTTTGGCCTCCCAAAGTGCTGGGATTATAGGCCACTGTGCGTGGCCGAAACCACTGATTTAAAGAAACTGAACTCGTCGGTGGTCTTTGATACTGAATTCGTTGGATCAGCTGGTAGTGCCCACTCCAGTGCAGAGTGTGAAAGACGAGTCCCGTCTGCAGGGAGTAGCTGTGCCAGCCAAGCGGCCAAGTGTTGCCTGCATGCAAATATAGGTCTCAGTTGCCAAATCATGAGTTCTCCTCTTTCCAAAAAACTGGAAACTTGGATTTTGTGTGTGAAATCTCCTAATTCCTCTATATTGGACCATTTTTTAATGGTGTGTAATCCAGACAAAACACATCTGTGAACTTTCCCTCTGACCCTCTGTTTTAACTTCATGAAGAATGAAGCATTTCTGGTTTTTCCACTCCTAGTAGCTAAGGAGTCAACCCCCTTGTGCACAGTACGTGTGTGTGCTGTGTGTGTGTGTGTGTGTGTGTCTACACGCACATGAATGTGTGCACATGTGTATCCATAAGATAACTTTCTGGCGTCAGAATTGTACGTGCATTCACAAAGTTGATAGTGCTTAGCAAATTGCCTTCCAAAAGTATTATACCACCTGGTGCTCCTACTATCAGCAGTAGATGATGGCAGTATGTGATCTCCACGTTTCCCCCTGTGCTGTGATCCATTTTCTCATTTTTCCTGATTTTCTAGTTGAAAGTAATAGCTTACTTTTAATTGTATTCTTTAATTAACCTGTGTTTTTCTATGTATTTGTTCACCTTTTATATTTATAAACATCTTTGTTTATAGAGAAAACTGTTTTCAATGTTGTTTTCTGTTGTTACCTTTGGAATTTTTTATGGAAACTTTTTGCTGAACTCTTTAAAAACTTTTATAATATTTATTATAATATTTATCATATTTCATAATCCCATGACATAAAACCCAGAAACTATAAAATATTTATTAAATAAAAATATTTAATATATTAAAAATATTAAATAAATATTAAATTTAATATTTTATAGCTTCTGGGTTTTATGTCATCCTTAGGAAGATACGCTGTGTAACAAAATCATTAACATAACACAAAACATTTTCCTTGTTCTTTCTCTAGAACTCCCATGTTTGTGTTTTATAATATTTAAATCCTTTATCTCATTAGTGATTTTTAATTTTATATGAAGTATGAAGTAGGAAAGCAGATTAGGTTTTTTTCTAGAAAGTTTGTGGTTTTACTGACATCAATGGAAGAATCCATCTTTTTTTTTCTTTTTTTTTTGACTAATTGGAAAGGTCACCTTAATGAAACAATTTGTAACATTACTCAAGTGCTTATTATGTGTCAGATAACTGTTGGAGAACCTTAATATGTAATTTTTTTTTTTTTTGAGACAGAGTCTCAAAGTTGTCACCCAGGCTGGAGTGCAGCGTCGTGATCTTGGCTCACTGCAGCCTTGACCTCCCAGGTTCAAAGGATGCTCCTGCCTCAGCCTTCCAAGTAGCTGGGACTACAGGTGCACGCCACCATGCCCGGCGAATTTTTTTATATTTTTTTGTAGAGGTGAGGTTTTACCATGTTACCCAGGCTGGTCTCGTACTCCTGAGGTCAAGCAATCCACCCGCCTCGGCCTTCCACAGTGCGAGGATTACAGGGGTGAGCCACTGTGCCCAGCCAACATATTTCATTTTAATCCTTATAGTAATGCCAGTAAATTTTAATACATTATCATGCCTGTTATAGATGAGAAAACTACAAGGAAGAGTGGTTAATAGCCAACAGTCCCATAGCTTGTAAATGGCAGAGCTCCAGGATTTAAATTCAGAGTCTGACTCCAGAGCGTGCTAACCACTCGGCATTGTTTCATCTGTGTTCATCTTCTATTTCAAATTGGATCAACTTCTGAACTCACTCTCCTGTTCCTTTAATCTGCCTTTTTGTATCTAGTATCAAGCTGTTTTAATTACTATAGGTTTATTACGTATTTTAAAATCCAAGAGAGTTTTTTTTCCCAGATTTTTCCTCCCTATTCTTACATATTTATTTTTCCAGATGCATTTTATTTTCAGGGTATGCTTGTTTTAAACCATGGCTCTCTTAGAGAAGACCTTGTTCATTTGTTCCTTTTCAAAAGAAATGGGTAATAACTTAAGATTCCAGCCATCAGAGCATTGGAAATTTTTAAAGTCTTTTACTTTTCTGTAACTTCTCCTGTTAATTTTAATATTTGTTGTTAGTCTGTATGAAGTACCTAAGTCATGGCATGGTACCAAACAGGATTGTTACTTGGCAAACAAAAAGTTTTATTTTATTTTTATTTATTTATTTATTTTTTGAGATGGAGTTTCGCTCTTGTTGCCCAGGCTGGAGTGCAGTGGTGCAATCTTGGCTCACCCAACCTCTGCCTCCCACGTTGAAGTGATTCTTCTGCCTCAGCCTCCCAAGTAGCTGGGATTACAGGCCTGAGCCACCAGACCTGGCTATTTTGTACTTTTAGTAGTGACAGGGTTTCTCCATGTTGGTCAGGCTGGTCTCAAACTCCAGACCTCAGGCGATTCGCCCACCTTGGCCTCCCAAAATAAAAGTTTTATTTTTTCTATCTTTATGTATGGGATAACCCATTACATTTTGTTAAAAGGGACATTTTGAAAATCATTTCTGAAGCTGATAAAGGACATTTGGGGACCTGTCGCTTTAGGGATGCATAGAGCCCTGGAACTGTCCTGGGCTGGCTCTGGCACTGACAGGGCACTTGTTGGGCCGGGAGGGAGTCTCGTGTGGGAACATGAGCTTGGGGTTCTTCTTTGTATCCCACTCTAGATGGGATACATAAAACAAAACCTGAAATAATCAGATTTGCTGAAAATAACTACAGAGGAGAATTTAAAACTTGAGTATGTTGAGAAAGGGAATATATATATCTGGGAGAGAATGGATACGTTTTGTTTCTTTGAAATGGAATTAGAAAGATATTCAGTTGTCCTGTACATTCTTGCAAACCTTGCAGTTTTGAGAGCCCTATTTCTACCTTTTATCGTATTCCACTGTGTGTCTGATTCTAGGAGCGTGAACAGGGAGACAACGGTGAAGTTTGTGCACACCTCTGTCCATGGGGTGGGTCATAACTTTGTGCAGTCCGCTTTCAAGGCTTTTGACCTTGTTCCTCCTGAGGCTGTTCCTGAACAGAAAGACCCGGATCCTGAGTTTCCAACAGTGAAATATCCGAATCCTGAAGAGGGGAAAGGTGTCTTGGTAACCTAATTTTTTTTTAAATTATAAAATCTCCTTTTATATTCAAAACTGTTACTGTCAAGTAACATACATTTTTATGTGTTTTCATTGTTCTGAAGAAAAACTAATTTCCACATTGGAAATATGTATATATGGCTGGCTGCAGTGGCTCATGCCTGTAATCCTAGCACTTTGGGAGGCCAAGGCGGGCAGATGAGGTCAGGAGTTAAAGACCAGCCTGGGCAACATGTTGAAACCCCACCTCTACAAAAAAATACAAAAATTAGCAGATGTGGTGCTAAGTGCCTGTAATCCCAGCTACTCAGGAACCTGTCACTAGAGTTGTTTGAGCCTGGGAGGTGCAAGTTGCAATGATCTGAGATCCCACCACTGCACTCCAGCCTGGGTGAGAGAACAAGACTCTGTCTCAAAAAAAAAAAAAAAAAAAGGAAATACACATACTTGTTAGTCATTAATTTCTTTTTTCTTTATTCGTTTTGAGATGGAGTCTTACTTGATTGCCCAGGTTGGAGTGCAATGGTGCAATCTTGGCTCACTGCAACCTCTGCCTCCCAGGTTCAAGTGATTCTCCAGCCTTAGCCTCCCAAGTTGCTGGGACTGCAGGCGCACACCACCAAGTCTGACTAATTTTTGTATTTTTAGTAGAGACACGGTTTCCCCATGTTGGTCATGCTGGTCTCGAACTCTTGACCTCGTGATCTGCCCGCCTCAGCCTCCTAAAGCGCTGGGATTACAGGCATGAGTCACCATGCCCGGCCCCGTTAGTCATTAATTTCTTAAAGGATCTTTCAGAGTAGACACCCTAGGATCAGGACATGAGAGCTGAACTCTAAATGGTGCTTTACATTCAGTTAATTTAATTTAATTTAATTTAATTTACTGTGCCTCCTTAATGCAAAAAGAAGCAATAATAGAGTAAAGTTTTATCAGGTTATGATTTTTATTTCTTGTCATTTTTCTCATAGGAAGAAGTATGCTTACAGAATGATTCCTGTAACATTTTTAAAGTTTAGGGTAGCAGGGGTATTCGGACTCTCAGTTTGTTTTGTTTTATTTGTGAGTCTGATCACACAGCAATGCAGTCCAGATGGCTAGAAGTAAATCTCACCTATCAGGATGGATCACCTCAGCTTACCTTTCTCTTAGCTTTTGTTTGCTAAATTTCACTTCTGGAGCTGGTCTTGGTTGGTGTCATGTATTATCTAAGAGGGGAAAGATCTCTTTGAGTTCTTAAAGAGCTGAATGTTTTTAAAGACTACCATATGCTCGATTCTTGAATAAATAATCTTTTATTTTCAAACTCCTTTTCAGACGTTATCTTTTGCTCTGGCTGACAAAATCAAGGCCAGAATTGTGTTAGCAAATGACCCGGATGCTGATAGGCTTGCTGTGGCAGAAAAGCAAGACAGGTAAAATTAACTGTGATTACCTATATTGTAGAAAGTATAAAGGATGATCTCTTCATTGGTAAAATGTTCCTGGGGAGACAGCACCTATTTGGAAACATATCCCATTTATTTTGCAAATGATCATTTCACTAAACCTCCTGTGGAGTCTTCTAATGGGGAGAGGTTACGTGATTGGCAAGCATAATCCAGAGTAAATCAACCCAGTGTATATTTCAAATCAAAAATCCTATTTGGGAGCTTCTCATTTTGTGACTGATTTTTATTATAAGTAATGTCTCACTGTCTGATGAGGGTAAAGTACTTTGGTGCTTGCTGTGTGCTTCAGTATTTGCTGAGGGGTTTGGGAGGGAGCTGTACCTTCAAGCAGATGCTGAATTTAGTTTGGACAGACCAGAGAGGAATTCCTGTGGGGCATCACCACAGTATTTAAGACGGGTCTAACCAGAGAGTTTGTACAAAGGAGAAGTATGTACGTGGGAGCTAAAGTTGAAAGGTAGGCAGGGTCCAAGCAATCCTGGGTGTCAAGTACCCTACGTGATGTTTTGGGGGCAGGAGGGTGCTGCTGTTAAAAGGATAGAGTTTTCGATTATGATAAAACAGGTTCAATTCTGTATCATTGTTGAGAAAGGTAAGCTAAGTTGATACGTCCTTTTAAGTAAGATTTACTTCTAGCTATCTGGACTACCGAAAGGAGCAGAAATCACACAACTTTTCTCTGATGTTCTGACCATTTAGGACCAAGCTAGATCTGAAGGGGTACTGAGATGTCCCCTCTCAGAGTCAGCAACACTGACCAGTCCAGAAATTGAGATAGCAACACTCACTGTATACATGAGGGATCTTGCCAGCATATCTGTTATATTTAAAACCAAAGGCTTTGCAAAAGATTCATATAGAGGCATTGTGTGTCAATGTCTGACATACTTATTTCACAGTCTTCGAAGACAGTTCAGGCAAACTGGCTGATATATATGGTAGCTGCTCAGATGTTTGTAAAACGGCACTTACATTTTTGCTCAGTTATTTAAAGATGATGAATAACAAGAACAGCCTTGCAGAAAATACTTAGAGGCTTTGTTTGCTGAATTGTTCTATCCCCATGGTACTCTAGTGTCTTCCTTAAGATCATGGAAATGAATCGATGTTGTTTCTTTTCTTTCAGTGGTGAATGGAGAGTGTTTTCGGGCAATGAGTTGGGGGCCCTCCTGGGCTGGTGGCTTTTTACATCTTGGAAAGAGAAGAACCGGGATCGCAGTGCTCTCAAAGACGTTTACATGTTGTCCAGCACCGTCTCCTCCAAAATCTTGCGGGCCATTGCCCTAAAGGAGGGTTTTCATTTTGAGGTAAGGAGTTCCTGGGACTCGCTCATTTTCCTTTCATCTGCTCCATAGAAGATCTAAGGCCTGTCTTTCTGTTTTGGATTATCCTTTCAGGAAACATTAACTGGCTTTAAGTGGATGGGAAACAGAGCCAAACAGCTAATAGACCAGGGGAAAACTGTCTTATTTGCATTTGAAGAAGCTATTGGTAAGAAGCGATCGTGAAAGTGAAGGCATTGGTTAAAAAGGAAAAGGAAAAGGTTTGGATTGGGATTCAAAAGGTGCACAGTGAAACAGTTTATTTTGCTTCTCCAGTACTCAGGTTGAATGTTGGAGTGTCCTACTCCAAAACTGACATCTCAGGTAATTTACAGCCAAAAGGAATGTCTTGAAAATAACCAAGTCAATCATGTCAGACGCCTTTGGCCAGATGACTAAAAACAGTGAGATGTGATGCTTGGCTGCTGGTACATGTATTTTGAGAGTTGTGACGTTTCCCCACTGTGGCGTTTAATATCCAGGCCTAAACACTGTGGTATTTAATGTACATCCTCCTCTGAGGATCTATGCTAAGGTCTGTCCAGAGGAAAGGGGAAGGAAGGCATGGTTTGCTGCTGTCATCAAGGTGATAGTCACCCAAAAGGATGACCCCGGTCCAGCCAGATTGACAGAAAAGCCCTTGTCCTAAACTGTCAATATAAATGAACAGCTATGGAAATTTGAAATTCACATTGTACCAAACGTTTTCAACTATCAATTTAGTAAAAAGTATACATTGGATTTATTTGTGTTCATTTGTATGTTTTCTGTAACACCAACACACACATGACTTAATGAACTGAACAAAGTGTCATCGCTCAGGTTCTGCTCTTTTATTGTCACATTTGGCAGACTTGTCTTTCTATAGCTTTTTATTTTTAAAAAGATTTGCTTACACTCATTTATCAAGTATTAATTGCATGTCTATTACTTAGTGACTCTAAAAGAAATAGATGACACTGACCTTATCCTATAGCAGCTTAGATAGATTTAGTTAAATAATCACACACGACAGTATAGGCCACATGTCAAAATGAATAATGTAACTAATAAATACTATTGGGATTCAGAGGAGAGACATACGTATTGACTAGGACAAGTAGAAACAATTTCATGAGCTGGAAGGAGTTGCATGACTAGGGAATAAGCACCATGTGGCCAGAAGGGAAAATCTTGCAGGTTCTTTAGCAAAAACTTCTTGAAGGCTTGCTATGTGCTAGGCACTGGGCTAAATTCTTAAACATAAGGTAGTTAATGAGAAACATGCATACACGCAGCACTGCACAATCTATAATATGCAATAGCCAGGATTCATACTCACATGTGGTTTTACACAGTATTGTACAGACGTATTTATAATGTGTGTTTCTGCAGGATACATGTGCTGCCCTTTTGTTTTGGACAAAGATGGAGTCAGTGCCGCTGTCATAAGTGCAGAGTTGGCTAGCTTTCTAGCAACCAAGAATTTGTCTTTGTCTCAGCAACTAAAGGCCATTTATGTAGAGTAAGTTGTTATTGACTGTTGGATTGAAATAATAGTTTGAAATGTTCTATTATATGCTTATGCATAAGATACTAATATTCTTTCCAGTGCTCTTATTTTGGTAATGAATTCTATTTCTTATAAAAACCAAGTAAGGCCAGACACAGTGGCTCACACCTGTAATCTCAGCACTTTGGGAGGCTGAGTTGTGTGGATCACCTGAGATCAGGAGTTCGAGACCAGCCTGGCCAACATGGTGAAATCATGTCTCTATTAAACATACAAAAATTAGCTGGGCATGATGGTGGGCACCTTGTAACTCCAGCTACTCAGGAGGCTGAGGCTGGAGAACTGCTTGAACCTGGGAGGCAGAGGTTACAGTGAGCCGAGATCACTCCATTACACTCCAGCCTGGGCAACAAGAGCAAACCTGTCTCAAAAAAAAAAAAAAATTAAAAACACCAAATAAGAGATCACCTTTTCCTTTTGATACTTAACCACTTAGTAATTACCATTTCTGATTTCATTAACTCTTAACAAATGACAACAGAAAGAATGTGATTTTAAGTGTCCAATGTCAAAAAAGACTAAATGTCTTCATAATACATCTATTCACTTTTTGTAGCAGTTACTCAAGTCTGCCTTGCCCGTGTGGTACAAAAGCATCCAGAGACAATACAGAAAGTGACAGGTGTGACGTGGCTGTCTGCGCAAATGCAGGTGGAAGACCAGGCAGTCATTTGGTGATCCCCGGGGTAGATTGTTGGACCTCTTTTTTTTTTTTTTAGACGGAGTCTTGGTCTATCACCCAGACTGGAGAGCAGTGGCATGACCTCGGCTTACTACAGCTTCTGCCTCGGACTCCCGAGAAGCTGCGATTACAGGCTTGCCCATGCCAGCTAATTTTTGTAGTTTTAGTAGAGATGGGAGTTTCACCATGTTGGCCGGGCTGGTCTCGGAATCCTGACCTCAGGTAAACTGCCCACCTCGGCCTCCCAAAGTACTGAGATCACAGGCGTAAGCCACAGTGCCCAGCCTGGACCTCTTTTTAAATGGTCTTTTAAAAATTGTTTCTTTTGAGTTAGTTACGGCCATTACATTTATTTTATCATTTTTTTTTCTTTTCATTTTTTGAGATGGAGTCTCACTCTTGTTGCCCAGGCTGGAGTGCAGTGGTGTGATCTCAGCTCACTGCATCCTCCACCTTCCAGGTTTAAGAGATTCTCCTGCCTCAGCCTCCTGAGTAGCTGAGATTACAGGCATACACCACCATACCTGGCTAATTTTTGAATTTTTAGTAGATTCCAGGTTTCACCATGTTGGCCAGGTTGGTCTCCAACTCCTGACCTCAGTGATCTGCCCACCTCAGCCTTCCAAAGTGCTGGGATTATAGGTGTGAGCCACTGTGCCCAGCCATATTTCTTTTAGAATACACTGGTTGGCACATGTCCTGTGTCCACCCTGCAACATTATTTGTTCCTCGTATTGCATGACTTTGTATTTGTTTGATAGGTATGGCTACCATATTACCAAAGCTTCCTATTTTATCTGCCATGATCAAGACACCATTAAGAAATTATTTGAAAATCTCAGAAACTACGATGGAAAACATAATTATCCAAAAGCTTGTGGCAGATTTGAAATTTCTGCCATTAGGGACCTTACAACTGGCTATGATGATAGCCAACCTGATAAAAAAGCTGTAAGTAATGTCTTCTCTTATCAACTAACCTCTTTGCTATTTACCTTTTAAAATAATTTGAATACATTATTTAATCATACAATTAATTGAAGCTGATTTTAGGCACTTAGGCGTGATTATAAATAAGCTGTAAAAAAAATATATGGAAGCCAGGTGTGGTGGCTCACGCCTGTAATCCCAGCACTGTGGGAAGTTGAGGTGGGCAGATCAATTGAGGTCAGGAGTTCAAGATGAGCCTCGCCAACATGGCAAAACCTGGTCTCTACTAAAAAATACAAAAATTAGTTGGGTGTGATAAGTTAAAAACCACAGGCTAGAGCTAAAAGAGATTCTACTAGGCTGGGTGCAGTGGCTCACACCTATAATCCCAGCACTTTGGGAGGCTAAGGTGAGTGGATCACTTGAGATGAGGAGTTCAAGACTAGCCTGGCCAACATGGTGAAACCCCATCTCTGCTAAAAATATAAAAATCAGCCAGGCATGGTGGTGGGCACCTATAATCCCAGCTACTTTGGAGAGTGAAGCAGAATTGCTTGAACCTGGGAGGTGGAGTTTGCAGTGAGCCAATATTGCACCACTGCACTCTAGCCTGAGCAGCAGAGCGAGACTTCATTCCCCGCCCCCCCCCCAAAAGAGATCATACTAGTCATCTAAGCCTGTGTGGTCATTTAGTACCTTAGGCAGCAAGCGCTCAGAAGTGTGGAACCTGTCTATGGTCACAAAGGTTAGTTGGTGGTGGTCCAGGGAGAATCTGGGTTTTCTGACTCAGGATCCAGCATTTTCTCCCTGTCAGGAGTTCATGCACTTGCAGGAGCATCAGTAACCGAGAAGGCTGGTGAAAGCAGAGTGCTAGAGCCCACGCCTGGACTTTCTAATTCAGTAGGTCTGGGGTAGGGGCCAAAAATGTGCATTTCTAACAAGGTCCCAGGTGGTACTGATGCAACTGGTCCTCACTTTGAGAACCATTGTTTGCTTTCTAGTTACTCTGTTCTCTGAATGTATGGGAGCTGTTGGCTGTAAAGCCTGAGTTTGCATTCTTCATACCATGCAGATTCTTCAATAGAGTCAAAAGAAGACCCAAAGGTAGCAGAAGAGTGTTGCTGACTATGGCTGGGGCTTGGGGGAAGAAAGTAAGAATGTCCTTAGATTACTGGCCGGGCATGGTGGTTCACACCTGTAATCTCCGCACTTTGGGAGGACGAGGCAGATGGATCACCTTGTGACCAGCCTGACCAACATGGTGAAACCCAGTCTACTAAAAATACAAAAATTAGCTAGGTGTGGTGACATGTGCCTATAATCCCAGCTACTAGGGAGGCTGAGGCCTGAGGATTGCTTGAACCCAGGAGATGGAGGTTGGAGGTTACAGGGAGCCAAGATCACGCCATTGCACTCCAGCCTGGGTGACAAAGTGAGATTCTGTCTCAAAAAAAAAAAAAAAAAAAAAAAGTGAATATCCTTATGAGATGTTAGGCATGTTCTTTGATATTTGCCTTTTTATATTTTTCGTTTTCATCTGCACACAACATATTTTTAAAATATAAATAGTAAGAAAAAGCTTATGATAAAACATGGCGGTCCCACCCGGGCCACCTCACTGCTGTGCCACCAAGACTAGATATGTAAATAACATGCTTATATAGTGATGTTTTGACATATTACTTTTACAGTTTGTTCATTTTCTTTTTCGGAGATAAAGATTTCGTTCTTGAGGTCAGGCGTGGTGGCTCACACCTGTAATCCCAGCACTTTGGGAGGCCGAGGCGGGCAGATCATGAGGTCAAGAGATTGAGACCATCCTGGGCAATATGGTGAAAATCCATCTCTACTGAAAAATACAAAAATTAGCTGGCCATGGTGGTGAGTGCCTGTAGTCCCAGCTACTCAGGAGGCTGAGGCAGGAGAATCGTTTGAACCTGGCAGGCAGAGATTACAGTGAGCTGAGATCTCGCCACTGTACTCCAGCCTGGTGACAGAGTGAGACTCCGTCTCAAAAAAAAAAAAAAAAAAAAAAAAATTTAGTTCTTACACTTTCTAGATTCAATATTCCCCTTCTCCCCATCATCACGATATGTTTATGCCACAGCTTTTGGTTAAATCAGATTCCCTGCTTTTATTATGACTAGTAACTGCAGTTGCCTGCTAGCTAAGTAGTATATTTTTATTAGGTTTCCCTAATTTGTATAGAGAATTATACTCCCTGTAACTTTTATTTTATTTTTTGAGACAGGGTCTTGCTGTGTCACTTAGGCTGGAGTGAGTGGCACGATCACAGCTCTCTCTAACCTTGACCTCCCAGGCTCAAGTGGTCCTCCCACCTCACCCTCCTGAGTAGCTAGGACCAAGGGTATACCATCATGCCCGGTGTTTTTGTTGTTGTTGAGATGAGTCTCTCCCTATGTTTCCCAGGCAGGTCTCAAGTGATCCTCTTGCATTAGCCTCCCAAATACTGGGATTACAGGTGTGAGCCACTGCGCCTGCCTTATCTCATGTAATAATAGTTGCTTTGTTCTTCCATTTGCCTGGATTTCTACGTATCTGTCAGTGGTTTCTCCCAAATCCTTTAAATGCCTCTCAGTAGGGTTTTCCCAGTCCATTTCCAGTGGCCGCCCTCCTGGTTCCTCCACCTGGACAGGGCCAGCTGCTTTCTGGGTTGGGTGCACAGCTGTCATCCTTGGAATGTCTTTCTCCAGGGTTGAGTCCCTTGCTCTTAGACCTCATGGCCTCCTCTTTACATATTTATTTTCCTAGATCACATCCTCTACTCGCTTTTTGAGAAAAATTAATTAGGAAGTAAGTTTTTGGTGACATTTAGGTCTGAAAATGCCTTAGTCTATCCTCACACTTCATTGACGCAGCGTTGAAAGCGTTGCTGTGTTACCGTTGGGCTTCCAGCATTGCTGTGGAGCCTCCAATCCTTTCTTTTTCAGCAGATAGTTGAGGCCTATTATATGCTACACGTAAGGTTATTGATGCTCTACCTATTCAGTCCTTTCCATGCAATTGGTTTTGTTTGTTTTTTCTTCTAGGAAGATTTTAGGAACTTTTCTCTAAACTTCAGGTTCTGAAATTTCACAGTGATACGCTGTGGTGTGGGTCCCTTTTTATTCATGTTTCTGGATACATGGTCTGTAGAATCATTTATTTCAGTTCTGAGAAGTTTTCTTGATTATGTATCAAGAAAGGGTGCTGATTGTTTGATTTTTTAAAATAATCACCTCCCCTGCATTTTCAGTTATTTATTTATTTATTTATTTATGTATTTATGAGACGGAGTCTCACTCTTTCGCCCAGGCTGGAGTGCAGTGCAGTGGTGTGATCATAGCTCACTGCAACCTTGATCTCCTGGGCTCAAGCCATCCTCCTGCTTCAGCCTCCTGAGTAGTTGGGACTACAGGTGTGTGCCACCATGCCTAGCTAAGGTTTTTTAGTTTTAGTAGAGACAGGACCTTGCTGTGTTGCCCAGGCCGATTTTTTTTTTAATGTAAACAATGTCTTATCTTTCTAAGGATTATAGACCTAATTATAGCTTTTAAAAAATACAGATCTTCTTCTACATTCTCTTTGTCTCTACCAAGTTCTTTTTATTCTGTTTGTTTCGGACTTTGTCTTTTATTTGATGTTTTTCCCCAAAAGTCTGATGATCTTTAATTATCTTTTGAGCACATAAGAGCTGATTGAAAATTCGGTGTACATGTGCAGATCAAATGACATTACTCAGGGCAGGTGTCCCCAAACTTTTTACACAGGTGGTCAGTTCACTGTCCCTCAGACCGTTGGAGGGCCGCCACATACTGTGCTCCTCTCACTGACCACCAATGAAAGAGGTGCCCCTTCCTGAAGTGCGGCGGGGGGCCAGATAAATGGCCTCAGAGGGCTGCAGTTTGGGGATGCCTGACTCAGAGGATACTGAGAGCAAGTTAACTTTATAACGAGATCCCCCATCTGATTTAATGAGACCTTAATCACCTACCCAAAGATTCTAAGATGAGATGCACAGGCTCTGGAGGCATGACGGGGCAGAAGCTGAGGGTGTCAGCCTGAGAGCTTTTACTTGATCCCTCAGTTTTCACCATGCCCTGCCCACGGTCCCCAGCTCCTGAATGTTTCTGGTTTAATTTCCAGAGAATTTAAACTGTCTCCTGCAGAAATAGAGAAGAAGTGGTTCTGTGACCACGTGGGCTGGGGGAAGGGAACCCGGAGGGTCTAAGAGCATCTTTCAAATGCTGTTCTTGCTTTCCGCCCCTGCCTCACACCTGCCTTTTGCAGTACCTGGTGCCTCTGGTTCTTGAACCTGGCCAGGATTCTACAGAGCACCTTGCCTCAGTTCTCATCCCTGACTCCTTTTGCAGGCACTCAGATTTCATTCTCTGGGTCCCACCGGCTTGGTGCTGTGCCTCCATCTGTTTTCTGACTTGCACCATTGGTCGGCAGCCCCATCAGCTGCTAGCTCCTCTTTGTCTCTTTGCCCATGTGTTTATGCTATTTAAAGTACCTCTGTAATTTTAATAGTTTTGGGACCTATCAAATATAAATATACCATTTCCTCAAGACCATTTTTCTTCTCTAATCAATAAATTTGTTTGGCCTTTATTTTCTTACAGAAGCTTTCTTTTTTTGAGACATAGTTTCATTCTGTTGCCCTGGCTGGGTGGGGTGCAGTGGTGCAATCTCGGCTTACTGCAACCCCAGGTTGCAGTAAGCGATTCTCCTGCCTCGGCCTCCTGAGTAGCTGAGATTACAGGCGCCTGTCACCATGCCCAGCTAATTTTTATATTTTTAGTAGAAAGGGGGTTTCACCATGTTGGCCAGGCCGGTCTCCAACTCCTGGCTTCATGTGATCTGCCCGCCTCAGCCTCTGAAAATGCTGGGATTGCAGGTGTGAGCCACCGTGCCCAGTCTGGAAGCTTTATTTTTTAAAAAAAATCTCCTCGTGGACTTTTCTTTGCAAAGATTCACTTTGTAACAGTAAAATATGGTCTAGTTTTTTTCTTTTTTGTAGTGTATTATTAATCTATTTAAATCTATTGCAAAATGATGTGTTTTCATAAAACTTTAATAACTTCAATAGAACTAGGGAAGTAAAAGCTAATACACAAAGTTACTTAATTTTCTTTTTTAAAATGAATTCAGTTATGTTAATTCACAAATAAAAATTCTATGTATTTACAATGTACAATCTGATGTTTTTAAATAATGTATACATTGTGATGGCTAAATCAAGTTAATTAGCATGTATTACCTCACATACTTACATATTTGTAGTGAGAACACTTAAAATCTACTCTCTTAGCAATTTTCAAGTATGCAATACATCATTATTAGCTGTAGTCACCATATTGTACAATAGATCTCTCGAACTTTTCTTCTGTCTAACTGAAACCTTATGCCCTTTGACCAGCATCTCCCCAAACTCCCCCTCCCTTACCCCCCTCCCCCCGCCATCAGCCTGGTAACCACTACTCTACTCTCTGCCTCTGTTAGTTCAACCTTTTTGGATTCCACATATAGGTGAGATCATGCAGTATTTATCTTTCTGTGCCTAGCTTATTTCACTCAACATATAATGTCTTCCAGGTTCATCCATATTGTTGCCAGTGACAGGATTTCCTTCTCTTTTAAGGCTGAATAGTATTCCATGTAGTATACCACATTTTCATAAATTATTGTTATTTAGCATTTCATTCTTTTAGAGTACATTTTCTATTTCCTCCAAAATGTTTTTCTTTTCTAACCAATAGATTCATTTGGCATTTATTTTATTTTTACTTTCTTACTTAATCAAGGGAAGATATTGGTTAGGGCAGAGTCGTCTATGTTACTATTTAAATTTATAATGTGTGCGTTCATTCCTAGGTTCTTCCCACTAGTAAAAGCAGCCAAATGATCACCTTCAGTTTTGTTAATGGAGGCGTGGCCACCATGCGCACCAGTGGGACAGAGCCCAAAATCAAGTACTATGCAGAGCTGTGTGCTCCACCTGGAAACAGGTATGACGTGAGTGGCGGCTGGTGAGATTTTTACTCCCCAGACTTCCTAACTGGTGCTATTCAAATAAGTAAAATATTCCATGTAGTTTAATTAGAAATGCTGTTTCGGAACCTGCACTAATATGGTGGTATTAACAGCCAGTCTGAGCATCCAGGAAAAAGCATACTTTTTACTTTCTTAGTTTTGGCCTAACTTTCTTTGTTCGGGAAAATTTTATCCTTATTTCAGTGTAGTAATAAAAGTGCCTTTTTCTAAACACTTTTCATTGGTGGCTAGCACCAGTGAGATTTTCTCTTTTTCTCAAATTTCAGTCTTCCTATGGCTCTGATAAAATAAATTATAATCCATTCTACATGCATTCAAGAAATGTCTTTGAGTACCTATTGTACACAGGTCGGTGCTGGGTTCCTGAGGGGACGCAGAGTGCCTCATCAGAGAGAGTCCTTGCTGCCAAAGCACTGATGGGCTGGTAGCTTCAGGTTCAAGTTTCTGTGATTTAGTAAAGAGTTTGAGTTGGTTAGTCTCTAACAACTTAACATTTTGCACCTTAACAAGCTCAGTGCATGTCCTTAGTGTGTGTAAATGGGATGCTGCATGCCTATCCAGCATGTTAGTTAACCGGCACTTCCTATTCAGAATACAGTTGAAAATCAGGAAATGTTTTTGTAAAAGATGAATTAAGTCAGTGCTGTCTGATGGCACTAAAATTCAATCCACAGATGCAGTTTTTGATTTTCTACTTGTCACCTTTTAAAAGAGTAAAAAGAAACAGATGAAATTAATTTCAATAATTTATTTTACTTAATCTAATATAGCCAAAAAATCATTACAACATGTAAGCAATGAAAATAATATTAATTAGATGTTTTATGATTTTTTTTTTTTTTTTGCTTTGGAAGTCCTCAAAATTGATTCTGTAATTTTACACTTACAGTGTGACAAACCAAAGTTTTGCTCATAGAAAATTTTTTCCAGCCTTGTGAATCAAACTTGAATTTTGTGCAAATAAAAGAAGATGAAAATTCCTGAGCATCTTAAATTGCCAAGCTAGTAGCACATTAATATAGCAAATTAGAGGAATGGAGAAAGAATTGTAACTAACTTTCCTTAGACAAGGGGAAGGAAATGTTAAAACAAAACAACACTATAAAACATGGACACAAGAGCTTAGAAAGCTCACCACTCTATATGTTTATCATGAGGGAAATAGCATTCTATATCCAAATGAGCCCAGAATACAGCTCCAGTCCAACAAAGTCATGCTTATGGCTCTCAAATGTCAGATGTTCAATAAAGACATATTTAAGAAGTCTTGGGACTGCATAATATCTTTTCACTATGGATTTCCATTCAAAACCTTTTTATGCTTAAAGTGTAAAAACTCAACTATTAAGTGAACATATAAAAGTTCATTTTCTAAGAATTCTGGATTACCAGTATTTTATTGTAATATTATACAAGAATTGTGTTTTCATGTGCATTCGATAATAAGCTCTTTGCTGCTTTGTTGCGTATAGTTTTTCATAAACATTTCTTCATAATTCTTTCTCATTTAGTGTTTTCTTCTTTTAAAAACAGATGGACAGTCCAACTTAAGGATCTCCTTTTTCTATATCTTTGTCCTTTTCATTATCTGATGAAAATATATCATATTTCAGAAAGCTTTCCTTTATAATAATGACACTTTAAATGTTTAAGTCTTTATGGTATTAAAATTTTTCACATGGCTTACTGAGTGGACTTAAATTCAAATACTAACTTATAAATTAATTTTTAAAACCTTTGAAAATTTGTCCTTGTATTTTATTTATTGAAACATTGCTTCCATTTATTAAATGAGACGTTAAGCACTGTGTCAGTTGATTGATCTGTGGTGAGGGTTTAAGCAAGGCACCAGCATACCTAATGTACAGCAGCAATAAAGTTTTTTGTTGTTGTTGTTGTTGTTGTTGTTGTTTTTTGAGACAGGGTCTCTCTTTGTTGCCCAGGCTGGAGCTCAGTGGTGCACTCTTGGCTCACTGTGCCTCCACCTCCCGGCTTCAAGTGATTCTTGTGCCTCAGCCTCCTGAGTAGCTAAGATTACACCCAGCTAATATTTTTGTATTTTTTTTTAGTAAAGACAACATTTTATCATGTTGGCCAGGCTGGTCTCAAAATCCTGGCCTCAAGTGATCCACCAGCCTCAGCCTCCCAAAGTGTTGGAATTACAGGCATGAGCCACTGCACCCGGCCAGCAGTAAAGTCTTGACTAAGATTTTCTTCTTTCCTGAAAAGCTTAAATATTATTAATGTGCTTTTATGTCGTGGATTTCAGTTATTCATAGAATTTCATGACCTTCTAATCAACTAAGATGGAAAATCCTTTTTAAGTATGTACTGCTTTAAAAATACTTTTTTGTCAGGGGAGATGTCTTTAGTTTTGTCCAACTTTCTGTTTTGAACAATTTTAAACCTACAGAAATGTTGGAATAAGAATGCAGTGAATACCCACATGCCCTTCACTTAACCAGACTTTTTATGTAAAGAGCCAGATAGTAAATATTTTAGGATTTGCAGACCATATGGTTTCTGTCACCATTACTCAGCTCTACTAATGTAGTAAGAAAGCAGCCATATGCATAAAGGAATGGGCATGGCTGTGTTCCAGTTTTACTTGACATGAACCACAGTTTGTTGACCCCGATCCAGACTCAGAAACTGCTAACATTTTGCAGTATTTGCTCTCTCACTACATGTGTTATGTATTTGAGGTTTTTTTGAACCATTTGAAAGACTGTGATACTTCATGACGCATCATAAGACCGCATGATACTTCACTCGTAATATTTCAGTATGTGACTCTTAAGAACAAGAACATTCTCTTAATATCTTAAGGCAAATAAATAATGGTACGAGGCAGGGTTCCAGTGAACCAACAGAACCAACAGAATGTATCTACTAAGAGATTTTTTGCAAGGAATCAACTTGTACAATTGATGGTGGGGCTGGCTTGGCAAATCTGAAATCCACAGGGCAGGCTGTCCAGAAAGGGACCCTGTAATCCACAGGTATGGGTTAAAGTTGGGGAGAGAGAGCATGGGGAGAAATGCCAGATACAGATGATGGGGAGAAAGGCAGCAAATCACACTGCCATGTGTGTACCTATGCAACAGTCTTGCATGTTCTTCACATATACCCCAAAACCTAAAATACAATTAAAAAAAAAAGTTGCAGTCTAGAGGTGGAATTATTCACGAACACCTTAGTTGCGCTCCTAATGCTTTTCAGGTAGAATCTAGCCCACCTACACTTTCTAGGATAATCTCCTTTCCTTAAAATCGACTGATTATAGATGTTAATCACACCTACAAGATACCTTCACAGCATCACAACATTACTGTTTGAATAACTGGAGACAGTAGCCTAGCCAAATTGACATGTAAATCCAAACATTCCCAAAAGTCAGCAAAATAGCTGTTTTCTCCTGATCTATAATCAAGAACACTGCATTTAGTTGTCATTTAGCTTAAATAGTTTTTCAGATTAGAGAAAAATAAATGCCTAATTACGCATGATACTTTCCTAGACACTCCGATAAAGACATCCATCTAAATTTAGACTTTGCAGAAACAGAAATTTCTAACCCTTGTTTAAATGGTCATAGGATGTGTCCTCTTGCTTTTAAAGATGTTAGGTACTATTCTCAAACATTAAGTTAACAAATGGAACAGTTATTGATTAGGATGGAGAATAGTAAGATAAAACTTTGGTTTTAAGAATTATTATACCACGAAATCTTACACTGTAATACTGATTTCTTTTTCACATGTAAAAATGCAATATCAAAAATATCAATACATACATGAATCATAATGTTCACATATCATGATTAAAAAATGAACTTTAATAATAAATCAGTAATTAGTTAATTCAGTGAGTTTTAGTTTTAATTATACTTAAAAAAAAATTATTAGCTTATTGTGCCTTCCTGAGAACCGTTTTCTTCAAAGCACATTTACTGAGAAAGAGAAGAAAACTGAAATAATTCACATGAAGCATAAAGTAAAGCATAATTACTTTATATATTGCCAGTAGGGATAAAAATAATTATAATAATAGCTACATTTATTGAGGTCTTTGGGCCAGGTTTGGTGCTAATTACTTTATATAATTTATCACAATCTGTACAGCAACTCTCTTGAGAAGGTAAAGCCTTTATCCCAATTTTACAAATGAAGAATCTGCGCCTTAGAGAGGCCAAGCTATTTGCCCAAAGGCACACAGCTAGTAAGTATAGAGCCAGAATTCATGTCTACAATGAAATAGCTTGCTTTAGTAGTACTGTTTAGCTATTAGAATGTTGACATAATTTTAACTAATTATAGGGATTTCCATTAAAATAAACTTTGTATGTATTAAAGATGGTATGAAGAGTGTGAAGTAATGGGAAGTACAAAGGATTTAGTTTTTAAAATTCAGCTTTTTAGTATTAAGTACTTACAGTACTCACACTAGGCTACTTAAGATGCTGGAAATCTGTTATTTACCTTTCAAATGTTTGTATATAAATGAGTGTTTCCCACGGCCTTGAAAACTTGATTTTCTTAGAGGGATCTATCTCCCCAGATTCTTGTTGATACTTTAGTTGTGACTCTTTGGTTGTAGAAGTAGATTCATTATGATAAAACCACAGGGGTCTGATTTCTTGGTGTTTGACTCCTCAAACCTACCCAGAGGCTCCCCATTGCCGTCCATTCTAGGAAGGCCTTATAGAAGGTTGTAGCTTAGTCGCCAGTAGTTTCTGAGGGCAGACATGAGTGTCTGTATTCTGGGAGACTGAGAAGTTAACAGAGATGTTGCTTGTAAAAGTTTAGCAGGATTTAATGGCAACTGACATCATGAAAGTTTTCTCTACACCCTTAGGTACAAATATAGATCTTTTGGGATGTGAGGCCAAAAATTGTGTTGCTTATAAATTCTTAGAAGTGGAGCAAAGGATAATTTTGTTTATAGTTCAAACCTTGGAAAAATCTTTGGGGAAAATAATGCATGCTGTCTCATGGGGTGTTTTGTCTAAGTCAACAGATGTGTTCCATGCTTAAGCCTCTGGAATTCTGTTTTTTCTGATTTAGTCCTCTTAAGGTTACATTTTAATGTCACTTGGGGAAATTAGGGTCAATAGAGGAAGCATTTAAACTGTGCTTTGGAATAATCCCTTGACCCTGATTTTTTTCCCTCTTATTTTCCAGTGATCCTGAGCAGCTGAAGAAGGAACTGAATGAACTGGTCAGTGCTATTGAAGAACATTTTTTCCAGCCACAGAAGTATAATCTGCAGCCAAAAGGAGACTAAATACTCCAGCCTTGGGTATACTTGCATTTACCTACAGTTAAGCTGAGTTTAACTTGTTAAGCAATATTTTTGAGGGCCAAATGATTCAAAATATTATAAGTATTTATATGTTTCACAAAGACGTACATTCCTCATTGTTTCATGTTTGATCTTTAAGGTAAAAAAAGAAAAGATGGCCAAACCCAGCAAACCAACATTCCTACTAAAAAGTTGAGCTTGGACATATTTTGAATTTTTTCAAATGAAGATTTTAAAACTAAAAAAATAATTTAAAAAAAAGATTGTAATTGATGTGCCTTAATTTGCATAAATCATAAATGTATGTCCTCTCTGTAATTCTTTTTATGTGTGCTTCAAATAGCCAGAAAACCTGTGCAGTTAGTAAATTCTGGGCTGTCATAATGTGGGATAGCCACTTTTTAGGTATATGTACACTTAGTTTCTATCAATTCCTTATAAAGTAAAATAAATTAACAGATCAAATGTCGTGTTCATCTTTGGGGAAAATATGATTTGCAGGAACCTATGAAGTGGAGCAAAAGATGCTTTAAAAAGAGGTTTTTTTGTCCTAGATATTTTTTAGTTCTATTCATGCATGTAGCATATTAGTACATTGTACATGTGCTAGGAAAAAACAGCTTCACTGTTTAATGTGTTGAAATTCATTTTATCTTTTTAAATCTGGAAACATGAACAGTTGTTTACTTGAAACTTGAAAGTCATGTATTCTGGTTTTTGTTTTTGTTTGCATTAGCACAATTTAATGTAATTCTTGGTTGGAGGCAGCAAGACCTGTGAGCAATAACTATTTACTTGACCCTGATTTTTTTCTCTTGTTCTTGTGTGGTCTAAAATCTAAGACTAGATTTTATTATGGTAGATTTCCTATGAGCAGATTTCTAATAATAAATAGATTTGTTATTTAATCTGTACCTTCTGTCTTCTCATAATTCGTGATCTTACAGCCTTCCAAAATGACACCAGTTGTTCACCCATGAACTAGGACCAAACTTTCTATGGATTTTACATTATTTCCTATTTTTAAAGCAAATGATTGCCATTACTATTATTACAGTTATCCTAAATAGTTATGAACAGTTTCAGAACAATGAAAAATTGTAATACTATGTGATAGTCATTTGTCTAAAGAACAAAATGTTTTTTCTATTTTAATCCTGTGTAGCTTGTGTCCTACCAGAACTCGTAAATCTGTAATATTCAATACATTGTACAAACTCTACAAACTGCTTCTTGGTAGAAGCCACATTTATGTTTATTTTACAGTGTTTTCTAGTGTCAAACTGTACTGTGGAGAAAAGAAATGTTAGGTCTGTGTTCTGTCTACATTTTTTGGCACACATGCCCTTTACCCTGTCATGGAGTTTGTTTCTGGAAATACAAAGTTGATTGAGACCCAATCGTGCTCTGATGGAACTCAGTCTAATTGGAGGGCTAATACGTAACAGCAATACTTACAAATTCTATCATAGGGTTTTTTTTTACAAGTATTCAGTGTTCAGAAATCTGAAGGAGGGATTCATGCTGCCCAGAGAAAGCCTCATAGATGAGGTGCTGAATGAGATGCTTCATCCTCAGGGATGAGGAGCAGCTGAAGACAGGAGAAGAAGCCCTCCGAGCACAGAGCACAGCACAGACAAAAATGTGGAGGTGCTGGCAAGTGGGGGTGGGAGAAGCAAGGGGAGACGGTGGAAACAGAAGCCAAGATGGAGACTTTAGAATGCATCCCACTTCTCTGCCACTCACATGAACAGATGGTTTCATTGGGCCTAGAGGGGATTCACCCAAACTCTATTTGTCTCGTCTGTATTTCTAAGAAATCACTCACCACGGCTGCTCATTAAGTATTTCTCAACTTCTTCCTGTTATGGGTTGTAGGGTAGCCCACCTGGTGCATAACGCTGGCAACAGTAAGGTCACTGGGTTTTTATCTTGGCCTATTGTGAACCAGCTCTGTGACCTGAGTCACCTCTCAAAGTCTCAATTTTTGTCATTGTTTTAAAAAGACGTTTTTAAGGGTGGTTTTCATTTCAAAGGAAAATTGAGAGGAGGGGACGGAAAAATTCCATAAGCCCCCCTGCCCCCACACATATGTTGCTTCCCTTATGACAAAAACCCCCACCAGAGTGATACATTTAGTATAATTGATGAACCCAAACACGTCATTATCTCTCAAACTATGGAGACTGGAAAGAAGATCAGGGGTTAGGAGGGAGGATGAATAGGCAAAGCACGGAGGATTTTTAGGGCAATAAAAATACTCTGACGTCATAGTGATAGATACATGTCATTACACATTTGTCCAAACCCTTAGAAGTACACCACCAAGAGTGAACCTGTATTTGTAGACTTTGGGTGGTAATTTTGGTTGTTTTTTTAATTTTTATTTTATTATTATTATTATTTTATATAGCCTACAGTACCTGGTATTCCCAGGCGTTCTCCCATCCAAGTGATAATTTTGTCATTTTTAAAATGAAGATATTGGCCGGGTGTGGTGGCTCATAGTTATAATTCCAGTATTTTGGGAGGCTGAGATAGGAGGATCACTTGAACCCAGGAGTTCAGTAACAGCCTGGGCAACATGGTGAGACCTCATATCTACAAAAAGTGAAAACTTACCTGAGCATGGTGGTGTGTTCCTGTGGTCCTAGCTACTTGGGAGCCTAGGAGGCTGAGGCTGCAGTGAGCCATGATCCACGACTGCACTCCAGCCTGGGTGACAGAGCGAGACCCTGTCTCAAAAAAAGTAAAGATATTTTACTAAATGGTCTCTGATGTCATTTCATCCTGCAGATCTCTACATTATATGGGAATCTGTAAAGGGCAATTGTAGTAACAATAAATCATTGGCAATTGTCTTTGGCATAATTCTTAGATTATCCTCTTTTTTTTTTTTCTAACCAAGTTTCGCTCTTGGAGCCCCAGCTGGAGTGCAATGGCACGATCTCAGCTCACTGTACCTCTGCCTCCTGGATTCAAACGATTCTCCTGCCTCAGCTTGCCGAGTAGCTTGAACTACAGGCATATACCACCACACCCGGCTAATTTCTTGGATTTTTAGTAGAGACAGGGTTTTACCATGATGGTCAGATTGGTCTCAAACTCTTGACCTCAAGTGATCCACCCACCTCAGCCTCCCAAAGTGCTGGGATTACAGGTGTGAGCCACCACACTTGGCCAGCTCACCCTCTTTTAAGATCTAATAGACAGGGGAAAAATACTTTGTACCAAAGAAGACAGGCTTGTGTTCCCATCTTGCTTTGTCTTGAAGCCTGAAGGGGATGTGTGCTGAAACTGGGGACGAGGAAGACAGAAGCTCATGGCATGCAGATTCTGGGAAAATGCTTTGCAGCGATGTGAGGCATGGTCACTGGCTGTGATAGGACTGAGAGCTGTCCCAGTGCCTTCTAATTGCTGAGTTATTTGGAGAAGCCTATTGATTGGAGTGTAGAAGGGGCAGCCCATTTTCTCTTGATGCCTTGGAAAGAACAGGCCCCAAGTTAAGTGTAGGAGACAGACTTGCAGGAGGAAAGAACTATTTTTACTTTTCTTCTTTGTGGTCTGTGAAGTAGCAGCTATTTGTCTTTCCATTGGGAAACGTTGGGAGTACATCTCATTTATATATATCATTGATTTTCCTCAATCATGATGGTAGTAAGAGAAAGCATTGCTATTTCAGTGGCATTGGAATCCCGTGTGGTTTTAAAAACAAATGCTTTAAGTGATGGAACAAATATGTGTGTCCTGTTTTGAAAAGGCTTTTGAAAGGATGGCCTGCATCTCAGTCATATTAGGTTTTCTAAAATCCTAAAAGACTGTATCTTCAGAGCTATTTGTGCATTCATGTAGATGTCTACTGAGTGGGTTATGTTGAACCCTGTGAGGAGCCAGGCATTTTTCTGGATACTGCAATAAACATGGAGTCCTGATCTATAACATATCCTAGCAAGAGGAATGCACATGGACACAGATAATTCCAGTATAGTATGCTGCATTGAAATAGTCAAGAATTTAAACTATGGGCAAGGAGTTCTGTCATGTCCCCTTCTGTGCTTGTCTATTTCAAGGCTACTAAGTTCAAATTCCTAACCTTTGTGTTTAAAACCACATGGCTCTGGGAGGCTATTTACATATTATTCCCCTGGGTCATCCCTTTGTTACATCCTTGCTACAAGCATATTTGTGTAGAGTTACTCAACCATTGAAAGCAAGATGTGCACTCTTAGGCAGATACCAATCAAAGTTTAAAATAGCCTCACTTCTTCTATAGACTTCTCCATGCACACAAAGCGTAGTGACTGCGCAGATTACTTGGAGGAGAAAGAAAACTGGAGAGGCAAGGCCCTCCAACACTTATTCTGAGGATCAAGGTCATCAGGACGGAGAACGTATTGGAGAATATGGTGTTTTTCCACCTGGCTCTTTTGTGTGGATTCTCATTGAGAAGCAGAGCTGTCAGCCCCCTCCTGCTTGAGTCCAGGAAGGCCATTTTAGTGTTTGGCCCAAACCCGGTGCAGAATAAAGTTGGGTACACAGACCAGAGCCAGCTCCAGGTTTAAATAGCTTTTGAAACCATTTCAAAATAGCATTGCGCAACTTCCCAAGGGAAGTTAGGGTTGCAAGTTACAGAGATGACAGAGCCCGATTATGTCCTTAAAATACATTGTTCTGAACTACTTCACCTTAACTGGAAAAAGGCAATTTTTAAAAAATCTCTAGGTGGCAGGAGTGAAATGGAGCTCCGTTTCTGAGAGGTGTTTCTTGGTTTAATAAAACAAGTAAACCGTAGGTGGGAGCTTGGACTAATTATCTCATTTATGAGCTCAACAGGCCTCCTTTTTTTTCTTTTCCTAGTTGGTTCATTCCCTGTGGTGTAAGGATTCTCTGCACTCTGAATGCTTTTTTATGTTCATGGCTTTCCTTGTCCTAAGGGCAGGGTGACAAGCGTCTCTGCCAAGCTTCATCCTTGTATCACCATTACCCTACTTGGACTTCCCATTCCAAAGTCCTCAAATTGCTTTAAATGCGGTCTGCCTCAAATTAGCTTTTCCCACCTCCCTACCCTGTAATCTACTCTGTACACCGACACTTCAAAATACCTGCCCAGGACCTTTGGTGATTTTTCACTTGTCTTTTTCTCATCATGAGAATTTATTCTTACTTACTATGGAGAATGTCATACCTATACAAATGATAGTACAATGGACACCCATGTAGCCATCACCCAGCTGTAGCAAAACTCAATTCATGACCAGTCTAGTTACATCTATATCCTCCTGAAATGAATCTGAAACAAATCCCAGCCCTGTCTTTGTTTCTGTAAGTATTTCAGTATTTATATCAGTAAATATTTCAGTATATGCGAAAGATCAGGACTTGTTCACACACACTGATAGAGGCAAGAGGCAGGCAAATGCTTAAGCAGAGAGGGGAGGCGCCCAATGAAACCCAACCTTCACGCC